TGTTTGGATCATGGGATGATTATAATCTTTTCACAACACCTTCCTCACTTCAGTACTAATTCGAGTTTGTTTCAATTGCAATATATATGAATTTTCTTTTAACAAAAGTTACAAGACTTCATCGTTTTCTTGTTAGACTTTTTATAAATTCTTTATAGTCTGCAGGATTATTCCCCTTTTGGCCATGTCTCACATTAGCAACTGTTATTGTTGCTTTGGAGGGTTATTATTTGAATGTTCAGTTGTAACCCTGCATAAAAATAATAGTTGTATCATTAGTAAGTTGCAGTAGCATCATACATGCAAGACTGCAATATGGATATGCTTTATATCCATCTCGAAATATCAAGCAGAAAACCAAGAGATCTTCTATACATCAATATTGAGTGCAGATCATTCAACTCCAAAATTAATAGGATAGAANTTCAGCTATAACCCTGCATAAAAATAATAGTTGTATTATTAGTAAGTTGCAGTAGCATCATACATGCAAGACTACAATATGCTTTATATCCATCTCAAAATATCAAGCAGAAAACCAAGAGATCTTCTATACATCAATATTGAGTGCAGAACATTCAACTCCAAAATTAATAAGATAGAGAAAAATTAGCAGGAAGGAGTTCTCAATCAGCATATCCAATTTAGGAAAAACCTTATCAGAATATTAAAGGTGTACCTTTTGTACTTGAATAAACTTATCAAGTACTGTACAAATTGGATAAAAAATTAAAGCAAGCAAAGGAATCATGAAGCTAAAAGATATCATACTCGGGTTTTTTTCCCTTGAAATCCTCTAAACTTTTAGGTTCAACTCATTTTTAACATGGAACTAATATAAGTCTTATATATAAAATGGAGCTACTAATAATTTTTCTCACTCGCTATGAACAGAGCACAAGTTCGACAGAGGTCTAAAAGTATGCCAAGTAAATTAACATAAAACCTATGAGATGTATGATTAGAGAGAAAGCTTCCATTCCATTAAATAGATGACTAAATGTAGACATATTAACAATGTCACTACTACTGCCAAAATAAACTCGAAACACCTTGAACAAAGTGAGGAAACAAACATAGATTAGAACAAAATTATGTCCAGAGGAAATCCAAAAGAGATAAATAAATAAATAAATAAATAAAAATGGTTGGTTATTTGATGATGGTGACATAGCTTGAGAAATAGGCTGAAAAATATATTTTGCTACGTGTCTACAAAAGCTTTTATACTGCTTCTGCAGATCATAAGAAACTAATTCCTTCTCCCACTCTAAGTATTTGATCTATTATCTTTGAAACCCGATTTGGATCCTTTCTCACCCACCCTTCTCCCCTCCCCGCCACTTCGTCTCTTTCTTTTAATTTTTTCTTTATTCATCCAATTTCTCTATAATTAGTCACTACTTGAATTTTTGCCTTAAGAAAGAAAGGGAAAGAGGACTATAATTCTTAACTGGTGGTGCTTTCAATTTTTTCAACAATTATATATAGTATTCTGATTATCTTAGTTTTTCTTTTTTTCAGTCTGTCTCTTGCAAATAACACTGTCAAGAAAATATTGGAAAGCCAAATGGGAAGGAAGAAGAAGATATAAAAGTTTCACTTGAATCTATACGGTTGGACTCATACTGTGCCAAAAGCTAATTCCACTTTCAAGATAAACACTGTGAAATCAAATAGAACGGGAAAAGGCAATGCTTAAAGTTTTTCACCGGAGTCCACATGCTTGGACTCTTTACTCTGCCAAAACCTGATATAAAAAGTAAAAAAAAAATATTAATACAGAGACACATGAAATAAACACCAATCAAGTATGAAAAAGTTGTACCAATCTGAATAGCATAATAATGATCGTGTCAAATTCAAATACGCATAAACCATATTCCTATAAAGTAACACAACTTGAACTATAAATACAAAGAATAAATAATCAAAGAGAAAAAGCAAATATTAGAGTGACACCAGACCAAGGAAAGTTCGAAAAATGCAGAATCATACCAAAGATGGAAGCTAGAATATTGTTCTTTTTCAAAACATAAACTCATAATTAGAATACCTAAAAAGCAAGAAACTCTGTAAAGATATCTTAGGAAAAATTCATTCACAACTATGTAATGATTGACAGGTATAAATATTTTAATGCTAACAAAGAAATGCAAGAAGCAGCAAAAAATATATACCAACCAACAGAGAAAACAAAAAGCTATTACCAAGTGCCCTTTACCAGACTCTCATGCCCCTTTGATCATGTTGAGAAGTGATGAAAAACTGAAACTTCTAAAATCCCTATTTATTACAACCAGAACCTCAAAAGTCAAGCAATAGACTAGAACTACAAAAGAACACATTTAAAACTAATCAAAATAATGGGAAATAAAAACGAATAAATATGAAAGTAATTATGTTATGAATGAGTTTAAGGGGAGGAAAGAACATACGTATATTACTTATTTAGATTGGATACAACTATTTAGAGAAGTCATATCAAATTAATTTTTCTTCTTTTAAATAATAAATTAATACATCCTAAAAATATAACAAAGGCAAATATTTGAGAATAAAATAAATAGAGATTCTGGCTTAGAAGAGGTGTCACGTCACCTC